CCCTCCAGCCAAACCGCTCTTACCTCCCCTCGCTCTGTCACACTCACATTAACCCCCCAATCCTGTTACACTCACCTTTTCTCTCACTGCCACTCCCCACTCCTCTTCCTGTCACACTCCCTCCTCCAACCGTGCCACACTCACCCCATCAGTGATCTCCCTCCCCGGTCCGCAGGCACATTGCTGACAGCCGGCAGGGGAGGGAGAGAGGACCTGGGAGCTCAGTCTGCAGCTCCTCCGGGTCCTCCTCTCGCGAGATTTGGAGCATTACCATGGCAACGCTCCAAATCTCGCGAGAGTGAAGTCTAGCCCTGGAGCGCGAGCTAGACTTCACTCCACACTGGAACCACCAGGGATTCCCACTGGGACCACCAGGGATGGAGAAATGTCCCCCCTCCTCCTCAATAAAGGTAAGAAGGGAGGGGGGACATCAATATATTTTATTAAATACATTTTTTTTAAAAAAAGCCTTCCTCCCCCATTCACACATACATTGCCCCCCACATACACACTGCCTCCACACACACTGCCCCCCATACATACACTGCCCCCATACACACACACACTGCCCCCATACACACAGACACATACAGTGCCCTACACACACTGCTGCCCCCCACACATGACCCCCGATACATAAAGTGCCCTCCCCAAACACACACTGCCCCACACAGACATACAGTGGCCCAAACACAAATACTGCCACCCTCACACACACACACTGCCCCATACATACACTGCCCCCTAACACACACTGCAACCCTGACATACACTCCCGCCCTCACGCACTCACACACACACTTCACCGCTCACACACTGCACCTTTCACACACACTTCACCCCTAACACACACCACTGCTCCTATGCCCTATATCCCAGCAGACCCCAGGTAAGTTGTCAAACTGTTCTTAAACGGTATGACTACCTACTCTGGGGTGGGATCCTGGCACTACTGGCACCATAACTACTACACTGAGCTGTAGTGGTTATTGTGCCAGGATTATTTATTTAAATAATCTACAAGTGCCCCTCCCGAGATCAGGCTCTGGATCCGCCACTGTACCACAGTTACTTCTTTTCTCACCCTGTCAGTCACCTCTGAAGACAATCATCATACACACAAAGTCATAAAACTTCACCATAAACAAAATGCACAAAGGCTACAGGCAGCCCCCTATATACACAACACACCGCAGGCAGCTACCACACACACACATACGGTCCCAGACACAAACATTCACATGCTCACAGAAACATACATTCACATACAAGGATACTCACTGTTAGACACACACTCTCAGGCACATACAGAGTAGACAATGCCAGACACACTCAGAAATATAAATATTTGTGTCTCTGTGTGTTTTTGTGTGTATGCATGCGCATTTATCAGTGTGTATATGTATTTGTGTACTAGTGTTTATATGTGTGCATGTATTAATGTGTGTGTGTGTGTGTGTGTGTCTGTCTGCAATGTGAGGGTGGTATGGTATGGGTAATGCAATGGTAAAGTTGCAAGCAACATATATATAATATGCATAAATACATACATATACAATACATAGAGAAACACATATATGATATAATTATAATATATAATATATATGATGTAAAGGATTATAGAATATGTGAGGAAAATGTCTATGACATTGTTTTATTATCTGTAACTATTTGGTAAATGATTTTTTAAAAGCCCAACCAAAATGTTAATTTTGTTTCAAATTACCCCTTTACACTGGCACTTATGTATACACAACTGCAAAGCTATATAACCATACCGAGCAATCGTGTATAAATTGTAACGGATCACCTGGCACCCCGACTGAGTACCTCCGTTAAAGGATGCTCCTAGCGCTTCCTGAGGGCTCCAAGCACTCCAGCAGACACCTCCAGGCAACGGACGCTACTCAGTCCTGGGAACTGTGGAACCGAATGGGGAATTAGCTCTAGTCCTTACAAGGACTTTCCCCGTTGAATCTCCTGCAAGCTGGAACAGCAGACACAGGAGCAAATATTCTTCCCTCCAATAACTGGACGACACACAGTTTTGGAGTGTAAACAGGAACAGACAGAGCTGTGGTTTTGTTTCTTATATACACATTTTTACACAATGTCGCCACCCACATGGTTTTGTAGCACAGCCAATCAAATACACTATAATACAGTTAAACACTCCCAGTCAGGACAAACAAACCCTCCCCTCTGCCTGTGATATAATTAATGTACACAATGGGTTAATGTAATTATCACAGGCAGGAAAATACAGTTTTTACACAATTCTAATAACTTCTAAAATATACATCAAATCTCCATAAGCTGGGGGGCGGGGCCTGCCCGCCATGCTGACCGGTCGCATGAGGGAGAGGCTCCTGCGGATATATGGCCTTTTCGACCGATGGTTTGGGCTTACAGCCTAGATTAGAACCGGAGGGAAACAGCAAGGTGCCGGAGCTGAAGCTGGCGCAACGGCGGGCTCCAGGATCGGGAGTTTTGGGGCCCCACAGGTCATACAAGGCTTTGGAGCTTGCGGCCTCCACGTGAGAGAGGCGGGATGGACGGCCGCCACCCTGCCTACTTGCCTAGCAGGCCGCCACATGCCAGCTCTGGGGCACACCTCACAGGCCCCTTCCCCCCCCCCCCTGGACCGGGGGGGATATCCCGGTCCCCACTGGGGGGCAACGAAGCGTCCACCACTAAAACCTGCAGAGCGCACTCCGAGGCCCAGAACCTAAAATGGCCGCCAAACTGCCTCTCGGCTATCTGAGCAGCACTTCACCCCCTAAAGGGGACTGGAGCTCCAGCGACCAGGCAACCAGTAACGGGGTACACCTGCCCAACCCTCAACCAAGACAACAAGGCACCCCAACAGAGTAGTGCTACACAGTCCCCAGCTACCCACCTGCCACAACACACCCAGAACAGGAGAGACAAGTGCGGGCGCCAGCCATAAGGCGAGACAGGAGAGCACGACATGACCAGCACCGGGCACTGAGGATCGGCTCACCGACACACTACACCCTGCGTTATCACATGAGCACAGCAAACACACTCTAACCCAGGAAAGCAGGCATACCTCTCAGCCCACTGTCTCCAGCAGCCCGACGGAGCAGGACAAGGGGAACGGAGTGACCTACGTGCAGGGACCCAGTGGACACAAACAGTTTGCAGATCTGTGACTCTCACATTTATAATGCATTTTTACTTCTCTAACACACATAGTTTGCCATATGCTTTGCTTTACTTGTTTCTATGCTACATTCTAATTCTCTTGCAAATACTATGTGAAGATGATGTAGGCAAATGTAATAAGCAACGGTTATAAGCAAATGTTAAAAATTCAGAGGTTATATGCAAATATAGGATCTCCATCTACTTAAGTAACTACAGCGATGACTCAGCTAGCATGTACCAAGTCTTGGGGATCTAACTACATTAGAAAATGTTAGAAAATGCATAGGGAAGAAAGATATTTATTTTAATATTACTGCCCTCCCTGTCTATGGCAATATTTACTTGGCCTTATATGTAAAATAACTGGATTGCTGATCATCTGGGAGTGGATATTCCCTCCCCCATTAGAATTTAAATATTTGTTTATTAGATATGTTTAAAAATATGTATTTAAAGGGACACTGTAGACATTGTAACTGACTTATCTCTTTGAAGTGGTTGTAGTGTCTGG